ATAACAATGTTTTGCTCTTTGCATTGATATTAATCGTGGATATCACATTCGGTACGTGCCCTAACTAATCCGCGTAAGTCATGAGGTTCTGTACTGCCTTGTTTCTATAATGTTACGGTAAAAAGTGTCTTCTCAGTTATTTGTTTCGTAGCGTAAATGGTGTGGTTATTGTGAATTACGTACGACGTGGGAGGAGGCAGTCATCTGTCTTTAATATTTTGAAATTCGGGGCTGAAATTGAAATGCAGGATTTATTAACCATGAAGCACCGCGCTACAGTGTCCAGTCAATGTCGTACTCTAACGCATGCAGCGAGGTTACTAAACAAAGAGGTAGTAAAGATTTGACGGAGAATATTAGAATCTATTCCGGGCTATAAAGTTTAATTAAAATTATCATTTTATGTGCGTATCGTTATATACTCGTGCATGTGACTTTTATATATCCATTTAATTAAATATCTGACATAAATGTATGTCAGCAAAACTGATATCTGATATGATTAATTCAATTTCAGTTGAAAAATAAAATTTATGTAACTAAATGTTTTTCATTCTGTTCATTATCTTGGTAACTGTACATCATTTGTATGTGTAATTTAAATATAAATTTATATTTTAAAACTTGTCCCGTCTAATCACAATAAATTCTTATTAAATATTAAAATATTACAATAATTAACATTCAAAATATATCAAATGATGTTCTTTATCGAAATATTCGATTTACATTAGACCATCATTTTTTCCACGACATGTTTCAGTTCCTAAAGGAACTATCTTCAGGTGAATATAATTATAAGGGTAAGGAAACGAAATTCTAAGTTATATTAATGCACAATGTTCTAGAAATAACTAATTTCCCGCTTTTATTATAATACTTCGAAACTATAATTAGGTTAGGTTAGGTTGGGTTGGGTTGGGTTAGGTTAGGTTACATTACGTTAGGTTAGGTTAGGTTACGTTAGGTTAGTTCAGTATAGGTTGGGTTGGGTTACTTTAGGTTAGTTTAGGTTAGGTTAGGTTAAGTTAGTTTAGGTTATGTTAGGTTAGGTTAGTTTTGGTTAGGTTAGGTTAGGTTAGGTTAGGTTAGATTAGATTTGGTTGGGTTGGGTTGGGTTGGGTTATGTTAGGTTAGGTTAGGTTAGGTTAGGTAAGGTTAGGTTAGGTTAGGTAAGGTTAGGTTATGTTAGGTTAGGTTAGTTTTGGTTAGGTTAGGTTAGGTTAGGTTAGGTTAGATTAGATTTGGTTGGGTTGGGTTGGGTTGGGTTATGTTAGGTTAGGTTAGGTTAGGTTAGGTTAGGGTAGGTTTGGTTTGGGTGGGGT